CAAGACTACTAGCTTGAGCAACTCGCTAAGATCACGTCTCAAAATAAAAAATAAAAAAAAGGGGTGGAGATGTAGCTCTACGGTAGAGTAACCCTGGGCTCGAGCCCCCAGCAAACAGGGGGAAATCAACAAACAAAAAAATGGACTCTGAAACCAAACTATGTGGGCAAAAACCTCCCACAATTAAGGCAAGCCACTTAGGCTCCCCTGCTGCCCCAGTTTCATCTGTAAAATAGGAATGATAAAACATTACCTCTCATAAGACTGAGAAGAGAGTTAAAGTAACAGCTGGCTAACACACTTAATACTGTAAATGTGTTATTTACCATTCTTATCCCCAAAGCTATTCATTCAGAAAAAGATAACCAGGCCTTGTAACCCAAGTAATACATTTCTAAATCAACAGGGCACAGAAAAGCCAGAATGAATACATCAGTGAACTGATGATCCTACTTTCTATTACAGCAACTTCCTTCACAAACAAGTAGGTATCTATTCTTTGAGGTGAGATTTTGAAAAAGGTTTAAGTATTTTGAATTCTAAATAAATAACAGATCAAGAAAATACACTTATTCATCCTTCAAAATGTGAAACATTGGTAGTATGTAAGTAAACACATTCCAGTAATAAAAGATGTTAAAATTTTTTTTTAAATGAAAGCATTTAACATGTCAGAAAAACAAGTATTTTGAAACTTTTTTTCTTATGAAACCAAAAATAAGCTATGGGAAAGGTATAAGTTTAGCATTTATAGCTCTTTTTTCAAGAAACTATAAAAACTTGAAGAAATTACATACCCTATTGAGGTGGATGAAATCTAGACTAAACCACATGTTTAATCAGTAACACATATGCCTGTGGTATGGCTTTCTAAAACAATGGGTCATGAGTCAGCTGCACGGGGCTAGCTTTTAGAAATTTAAGTTTTTATCCATTTTACAGAATGGCTGAGGGCTCCACTGTAAAGCATGACCAATTAGGGCTGTGGTGAGCTGATGCAGTGAGTTACAATGCTGTCGTCTGTCACTGTGTAACAGTGATGTGAGCCTTGTAGAGTTTTCAGTGACAGCCGTCTGCCCCAGCACACATGCCAGAGGTTACCACCTCTGCAACGGAAGAGGTATGCCTCCCCCAGCTAAGTCACAGGCCTCACCTGTGCTTTATACCTCATCCCATCCTCTCAGGAACCATGAACAAGAGTGAATCCTTCTGACTACAGTCAACCTTCCCATCAGCACTTAAACCATGTTGAAATCAGAATTCTTATAGTTTCCTATACAGAGCACTTGGCAGTTTCCATTCCCCTTACTTCCCACTCTCACTACCAAATCAGAGCTCTTAAGTAAGTCACCAACAACCACTAGGGCACTAAATCCCACAGATGATTCTTATAAGAGCCCAGGGTCCTGTCGTAAGAGCCCAGGACTCACCACATGCCTTTACAAGAATATCTGTGATGGGTGTCCACTCACTTTCCAGCCACTCCTGTTCCCTTATAAACCCAGGTGCCATCCCTTCACAGGCAAGCTCTCTCATGCCCTGGGTTTCCACTGTCATCTCTACCTAAAAGCTCCACAATGGCAGCTTCCAAATTCTGAGCACTAAAATAGTGAGTCAACCCAAGTCACAAAGACACCTCCAACTGAAGGCTTCCAGAACTAAAGTCATGGCCACCCTACAGCCAAAACCTAGTTCTCCTCAGTAAGTCCCCCATCAGCGGACACCACAGACACTGAGTCTGAAACCTGCCCTCACTGGACATCTCATTCTTCCATCAGATACACTATCACCATACCCAAAGAGTTTACATCTAACATCTCTACTTTCTCAACATTTCAGATCAAAGGAGCTAACATATTATAGTTATTTGAAAACAGAAAAAACCTTAAACATCTGTATTCATTAAGTTGGAATTTGGGCCTCGTGGATGTGTCAAGTTCACCTTTGTATGGATTCCACATGGCACTCAGTAAATGCATGCAATAAATTCTACTGGCTTTCTACATGTCCAGCTGAAACATTTATAAACGTTTATGAATTATATTTCCCAATTTTTATCAACTCCTGCCCCCTCAAAGCTGAGAATTTTAAATTAAATCTCTCTATAGACCAAAACTTTTGATGATTATGATGCTGCTTGTTTAACACTAGGAAAGCCTGTCACCTTTGCCTAGCAGTCCTGAAGGAAAGTATGAATTTCATCTTTAAATTCAAATCTTACATAAAATTCTCACTGCTCAACTTCCTTGGGGGAAAACAATCTAAGTATTACAGGTAAACTTAAGCTTTAGGCTTCCTAAAGGCAGACAATTACAAAGTGGTCTATCTCATTTACTTATCTTTCAATGGAGCTGGAATGACAGAAGAAGACTCTGATATTTTAAGAAGACTATCTTTGGACAGGACATAATGGTGCACACCTGTAATCCAGGAGTTCAGATGGGGAGGCCAACACTGAAGGATCACCAGGAGTTCAAGGCCAACCTGGGCAGCTACATAGTGAGTTCAAAGACAGTCTGAACTGCCTATTGGGACCCTGACCCTGTAACAAGTAAAAAAAAATTTTTAAGAACTATCTTTGGTCGACTCTTTAGTTAGCTACATTTAATTTCAGAAAGCAAGACTAATAAAATTTTACCCTATCAATTACAAAAAAATCTTCCTAGATTTCTATCTAAATCATAATCCACTATATTAACCTTCACCAACTCCATACTTTCCTTCACTCCATGTACCTTAACTGGCATTATATATCCATAGGATTTTTTGCTTGGAGAGTGTTTCCTGCCTTAAGGGCACCAGGCAGATCACTTCTGCTCACTGCTATATTCCTAGCACTTAACAAGGTGCTTGACAGTAAGTTAAAAACCTGTAGCTGAGCAATCAATTAATGGAAAGAACGAACTAGTCATTTAACTAGAACCAAACACCAAGGTGGTATATAAGCAAATCAAACAGACTTTAAGGCCTTAAGATCTGAGTTCACCTTCATTGCCAAACCAGAAGATCTTCTCTTTTTTTCATCTGTTCACCCTTTGCTCCTTTCTTCCTTCAAAGAGGGTATCTTAGATTGATGGAACACTTGAGCTTTAAGCCATTCAATCCAAACACCTTACAAATCCAGTAACTGAGCCCTAAAGACAGACTACTTGTCATCCTTAACTCTCAGATCCAGGAGGTTACCCAGTCCTACTCCTGGTAACACTGCTATCCCACAGAAGCAACATAATTGGAGGAACAGAAAACCCAAGGAATGCTTCGAGAGCAAATGCATGCTAGAGCGACCAGAGAGCCTGCCTCTTCTCTGCGTGTAAGATCTGTGCAGCTGACAGTCATATGCTAACCCTTCTTGCCTACCAATCCTTCTAACACTTTTAGGAGCATCTCAGCAGTGCTGAGCAATTCTTCAGAATCAATCAGGGCATACAAAATAGGCCACAATGGTGATGATGGGGCATCATCAAACTACAGGTCTCCAGGCCATCCAGAACACCATCTTCTGTGGAAACTATTCTGCCAGCCACCAAAGAGAGGCAGCACACTGCAGCACTCAGATGTAAGAGCTCTAGACTTAAGACTGGCCTGTCTGAATCCCGGCTTCTCCTATTACTGGCTACATTTGGGGCAAACTAACATATCCACATGGCAGTTTCTCCCGCTGTAAAATGGGAATCACCACCACCCTACGGGTGTTAACAGGGTACAAATACTGCGCATAAAGCTCTTAGCATACAGCGCGTGGCATGTCATAAAGGCTCAATAAATGTCAGCTATTTGTCTTTATTCAGCTATAACCGCTTTCACAAAGCCTGTTTATTTCCTCTCTAGCTCCCACATAATTTTCCTGACGTAACTGCACTTTATTCCGATGGGACCTTATATACAATAGCTTGGAGCACATTTTCTAGAATGAAAACTGGGCAAGCTAGTTCGAGCTGCGCTTCGGGGTCTTCCTCTGGGAAACCGGCCTGATAAGCCCTGTCCCTCCAGGTTGCCTAGGTACACGCATCCTGCGACACACCACAGTGTCATGAAAACGCACTTTGGAAAAGTGATCCTACAACTCTCGACCCCACGCCACGGTCTCGATCGCACTGCCACCGCCACTAGGAGCGTCCCGAACAAACAGTCCAGGTACACCCAGCCCACACACCCAATTGGTTCCCGCACCCCGCGGCGACACAGATTTCCGCGCCTCCAGCCCGGGTTTTCCGCAGACGCCGGGCTCCGCTTCCTCCCATTAACACCGCAGCACGCGCGGGACCCGCCGCCGCCGTACCCGAGGGACCCGGGCCCCCGCTCTCTGCCGCGCGGCGCAGACCTCGCGGCAGCCTCTGCCTGCCCCGCACGACGCCCCCACCTGCCCGCCGCTTCGCCCCTGCGCCACAGGCCGCCCACGTCGGGATCCCAGCACCTACGCCAGCCAGCCGCGACCCCGCGCCAGGCCCACCCGGGTCTCACACAAGACCCCGCGCCCACCCGGCCGCGCCGCCCCCATCACAGGCGCCGCGCTCACCACAACGCCGGAGCTACGGCTCCTCTGGCCCGCATGGGCCTGGCGGCGCCCCAAAACATTCACGCCAGGCGTCGCGTCCTGGGACCCTGGCGCAGCCGCCTCGGCCACGGGCGAGGAAGACGTACGCTACCCGAGCCGCGGACTCCTGGTCCAGCCCGGCCGCGGTGACAACGGCTGCGTCGCTCCCTAGCGCCGGCGGAGCAGCTTCTGTTGCGCGGAGCCCGGGATGCGCACCCCCGGCGGCGCTCGTTGTATATGCAAAGAGGCCGCCGCCAATTGGCCCGCGGGCGGTGGCGCGTGCAGGGCCGGGCCTATCGCAGGCCGGCCGGGAGAGCGGCGCTGATGGCCCGGGGCGGGGCGGGGTTACTATGGGTCATTCTGCGGAGCCGCCGCCGTCAGGACCCAGCCGCAGCCGCCGCGGGGCGGGACGGGGTGGGCGGGGAGGGCCGGGCTGCGGCATAGTGGGGTGCGGGGGATAGGGGGAGCTGGGGGAGGGCCCTCTCCTGCGGAATAGAGGGACGCCCCCCAGGGAAGCACAAATGCACTTTTATTACTGCAGCGTGTCTCTCAGTATGGATCATGAGAGGTCAGCATATTCTTGTTCTTTCTAACCTGGACGGGGTTCTTTTTCTCATTTTGCACTATTTTCTGTCAAATCTTGCAAAATGAAACAGCAAAAGAGGCTCAAAAGCTCAAAGCGTGTCTGTTATTATTTCTGTAATGTGGGTTTGGGATAATCCATTTTTGTCTAAACGTTCCCCCGAAATGTGTCCACTGTGGTGCAGATTTCCTATTTATTTTCAAGTGATAAATTTTACTCCAAATGACTGAGCCAGGCGTTAATCCCAGCAGTCGGGAGGTTGAGGCAGGTTTACCACCGCCAGTTCAAGTACAGTCTGAGCTACATGGGGTGGGGGTGGGGGTTAGGACGGGGAGAAAGAGAGAGAAAGGAAAGAAGAAAAAACGCACAAATGATAGTTTTTGAACAATCTTAGAAATCTAGAAAAGTGTGTGTTTATTTTTAGGGTTGCCATTATGTTCCTTTTGGGGAGCTGCATGAGGAAAAATGGCACCTACAGGGCAAAACAAAAACACTGCGGTAAGAAAGCTCGTTAACCGAGGAATAGAATTGGGGCCTCCTCTTCCTCATTTTCCTCCTCTGTCGCCCCCTCCTTCACCAGGCAACTGATGGTTTAGTTGGTCTGGGAACTTTTTCCAAAGTAGGTTAAAGGTTGCGCTTTTTAGCCCCACCTCAGGCTAAAGCAAGGATTTATTTCCCAAGAGAAGCTCAACCTCAGGAAGCTGCCGGAACTTGAACTAGGTGGGGCTCAGATGAACCTGGTTACCAGAAAAAAAGAAGTTAATCTCGGCCCCCCGGGGCATTTTCCGTGTCCAAGGGCTGGATGCCCTAGTCCTGCAACCTGTCCTCCCACTAGAAAACACGGGATCCCGTTGCTTGTTCAGCGGTCCAAATTGCTGTCACCACAAACACTGTGCCGAGAAATGAATGCAGAATTTAAATCCCTAGAAAAACCAAGTAACTTCCCTGAGAGGAAAACTAGAATCAAACCTCCCCCCACACACACCCAACAGTAAGGAAAGAGAAAATGATTAAAGTAGCTATCTGCCTGTTTGAATCTGTACAGTAAGACTAAGTATAGGCCAGGTGTTGTGGCCCTGACCTCTGTAATCCCAGTACCTGACAGGCTGAAGCAGGAAGATTGCTGAGAGTTCAAGGCCAGCCCAAACTACATAGTGAAAGATCTTAATAATAAGCTTAAAGCATGTTGGAACCCGGGGTTCATCCTCAGTACCACAAGCAGAAAAAAAAGCAGAAAGCAGATAAGTAGAATTTCAGCAAAATCCTGCTTCACTCTTTCTTCTTGTGGAATATATACTACACATTGTGTCATGTATTGTACTTAAAATACTAAATTCTTGTTTGATGTTTTACAGGCTAAACAGAAATATAGTATTTCTGTGAGATTTTTGTTAACTATAAAAAAAGATTGCTTGTCCTGTAGAAAGCTTTTCGATGTATTTTTATTTAGGGCTTCTGCGAGTTATGAAATTTGGCCACCTCATCCTTTTTATTTAAAAAATTCAGTTCAAGATGATCTTGGCCAAGAGAATGAAAACATCTATAGAAATAAGGCCATTGCTTTTCTCATTTTATTTGTCCAAACAGGACATTAGGGAACAGCGTCTTTGTAATTCACATGAATGCCTAATGTTCTGTTCTGGTGAAGGGTCCCAGAAATAGTCCCTGAGTGTTTCATACAATACTCTGTAAAGTACTAGCATTTTTCACTATAATACCAGGACCGGCTGATAGTTATAATTTTAATGAGAACTTTCCTGTTGTTTTACTTTCAGTCAGTCTAGGAAAGAGGGTTTAAATGGTGTCTGATCCCATATGTTTGAATTGAGATGACTCTAGTTTCAAGGAGCAGAACAGTCAAGAAAAACCAACTGACATTTGTTGCCTGGTGTTGTGGTACACACCTGTAATTGCAGCACTCAGGAGGCTGAGGCAAGAGGATCACTGTGAGTTTGAGGCCAACTTGGGCTAAAGAGTGAGTTCAAGACCAGCCGGAACTACATAGTGAGACCCTGTCTCAAAAATAAAGGAAGGCATTTGTTAACTCCTGGAAAGGGCCTGGTACACTATGCAAGTCCAAGATTAGCCCTAGGCCCCTGGGTGTCCTCAGGCCTGGAACCTTTCCCATTTTTCACTTGGTCAGTCACGGCATGTTGGCCATCAGTCACAGTGTCATGTCACGTGAAGACAGTAGCGTCTAGCCAAGGAATAGAGGTGTGTTTCCCAAATGCTACTTTCTTTAACGGAGGTGCCCGCTTACTAGATGGCTCTCAGCAGAGAACTCTGCAAATTCCATTGATCACCATTGACACCGTGTCCTGATTGTGAGGGAGGTTGGAAACGAAGTGGCATTGTTCGCCTCTCTAATGGAAGGAAGGATCAACAGTAAAGAGGAAGCCAGGGGAAGGAATCAATGCGAGCAGGCCTATCCAGCAGGGTCTGCCACAGACTGCACCTCAGATGACCCATTGCTGACTAACAGTGACTTAGACAAATCTATTCATCATCTTAGCAAAATGTCCAGAGGAATGCAATACGAGGGCTGCTTCAAAGGTTCAATAGTATGATCAAGTCCCAGCTCCTCTCATCTCCTTACCTTTCTCAGTGTTCAAACAGCCACTCCCTTCATGGTTATAAAATGAATGTAACTACTCCAGGCACGATCTTTACCCGACAGACACATCCTAAAACTACCTAAAATTTAGTAGTCTCATGCCAGTGTAGCAACTCCATGAAACTGAGAAGACAAGATACATGTCACTTTCTGCTGTGTCATTCTCAGCAAGTGGTTTTCATCCTTGAAGTCATGAAATGAAGTACAAACCATTACACCCGCATTCCAGCCTTGAGGAAGAAAGGAAAATGCGGAAGGATGCAACTCCTGTTGTTACCAGGTAGCTTGCATCTAAAAGTGGCTTCTCACCAACTAAACTGGGTTCAGAGCTGTTCATCTGTCCCTCTGGAGTTAGATTCTAGGTCCCTCTCATCTTGAACAAAGAATTTAACCAAGCAAGCACAAAGCAGTGACAAAGTTTATTCAAGAAAGCAAGTGTGAAGAGTGAGGTAGAAACTGGCTCTGCAGAGCAAGCTTGGACAGAGTAAAGAGAAAAAGCGGGGGGAGGGTAAAGATGAAAGCATACGCTGTGCCTGCTGTACAGTGTGGGCTACCATGGAAAGTTAAGCCAGCAAGCCCTTCATAGCGTCTCATAGCTCAGTTCTCATTTTATGCCATCCAAATCTCAAAGAAACCTGCAAGAACCTCTAGTACAGGTCCCTAGAGGCAGGACTGGGAACCTATATCTTGGGGTATCTAGTCCATCTATTGAAAACCTGCTCCAGCCCTTGGAGAAGTCCACATGTAAGACTTCAGGGACTGTTCTGTGCATGTGTCTGGGATTTTATAATTAACAGGTCACGCCTACTTCCCCAGCCAGCTTTGCCATGTCCTAATCTCCTATCTCACTAGTAATTCCTTTAAGGAGTTTTTCTCCACACAGCACCTCACTTTACATCTCACGGACCAGAATGTCATTGCTTACTAATGAATCTGAAATGTACAATTTCTTAGAAGCACATATTAACATCGCACATAAAGTCAGAATTTTGTCCATAGCCACGAAACAGGAAATGTTCATTGGGTAAGAAAACAACAGTTTCTACTCTCTCAGTGATATGGAGAGAGAATAAAGTAGATTGAATTCTGAAATACTTGCCTTAACCTTTAATATTTAAGTTCTTCCCTAGGATTGTGAAAGTGCTCTTGTTGGTTTCTTTTGATTTTGAAGTCTGTGACAATAGGAGCACCTTTTCTATATTTCTCTAATAAAGAGCTATAGTGGATTGGTAACCGGTGGTCAACTTAACACCAGCCGAACTGAATCAGCATGGTGCCAAGCATGGATGGCCCACCTGAGGACTGCTGCCAGCATAAAAAGGAAATCTGGAGAGGAACAGTAGCATTGTGGGTTCTTAAGTATCCTTGTTGTTGGAGCGGTTAGTTCTAGAGAAGCTTGTGGAGCTTCTTCCTTGATGTGAACTGGACTGTTCTATCATCAGAGGAGCTTGGGACCTTGTTGCTAAAAATGGCTGCAGTTCACTTTGGGGGAGCTTTGGTCCTAACTTTGAGCATTGCTTCCTGGCTCTGGAGGAGAAGATGTGTGCTATTTAATCTCCAGAAGTTTGTCATGCTGGCTTCCTGTTATGAACTCAGCTGTTTGCATCTTTAAAGGAGCATGGGACCTCATTGTTGCTGAGGATGGCTGTGGTACTTTTCAGGGAGCCTTGGTCCTTATTTTGGTATTGCCCTAGGCTCTCATACAGAACCCTCAGCCTGCTGGCACAGATCCTTCACCCCACTGCCATAGCGTTTTTAGCTTCCACTACTAACCTTTGGGACTTCCCTGCAGATGTCCATGAAATAGACTTGCGTGAGTCATTGTTGTGGACTCTAGGTTTTCAGCTGAACTCATGCAGGTTATTACCATGGGATCCAGGCCCTCGGCTGAATTTCTAGGTCTTTAGTGTTGTGGGCACATTTCCTGTACTTTCTTTGTATTTGACTTGTTGGGTGATGATTATAAGTAATATTATAAATTACATGTCCTGGATGTAATTGTTCTCCTTGCAACCCTTGACTATAAAAAGAGCCTTTATGTAAGTATGAAATGAATTCATCCTTGTGCATTTTCCACAATCATCTGTATCCATTCCTTTTGGAGTTCATACTTGCACTTACTTCTCACCCCTTTCCTCCTTCTTTCCTCTAGATCTACAAGAATTTCTCTAGGACTGAAGACATTTGGAAGCCAAGCCTGGATTCAAGACTTTAAATCACTGAACATTAAGAAATACTTAAGGGCCACTAAGTGACGAGGGCAGTGCTAGCACTGCAGATACTGCATTTAAGACTGAAAGGTTTCTGATCCTTAGGAAGGTTACATTCTAAAATAAGATTCTTATAATAAATAAACAAGAATAAAGATGAGTACAGCTGGATGTGGTGGCACATACCTGTGATCTCAGCATTTGAGAGGCTGAGGCAGGAAGATTGTGGTGACTTCAAGGCCAGCCTGTGCTACATAGTGGGTTCGGGGCCAGCGGAAACTATGTAGCAAGACTCTGTCTAAAAAAAAATAAAATTATATATACATTTATATATATACACACGTACATATATATGGTACAGAATCAAAGTGTTCTTCAAACATTAAAACAGGAGAGAAGTGTTACAATTCTGGATGGGAGATTGAGAAAAATAACTTTGAAAAGTGATACGCTTTATTAAGAAGCTGGCTGCTGTTTAGAATAGAAAAAAAGAAAAGAATATTCCTTCAGCTTTAGAAGTCTCTCAGAAACTAGAATATACTCTTGTGTCCTCTGGACTGGACCTGGCATCTTTAAACTTGTGGTGATCCTCCTGTCTTGGCCTCCTCAGTGCTGAGAGTACAAGTGGTGGTCACTGTACACAGCTCATCCTTTGAAGGTATGCCTTTAACTCAAATGCCAAGTGCTTCTGAAAGCTAGCAAAATGACTTTCCTGCTCTCTGGTTTGGTTGGTGCTCGTGGCTTATCTGTTCAGGTATCTTTAGGGTACAGGGAATAAAAATGCAAATTGACCTTAAAGATAAAAATAGAACTTGTTGACTTCTACAATTACGGTAAAGAGCCCTGGAGTATAACTGCCTTTGGGGCAGCTGACTAAGGTGCCCAAGCAAATCAGAATGTTAGGCATCTGCATTCACAGGTGGGCTTCCTTGGCATCCACTTTTGCTGGTTCTTATGGCAGCAAGATGCCAAGAGGCCCTTTCAGACACCTGTCCTGCTAGAAATCACAACTCTCCTCCCAGATAGTTGATGTCCTCTTGCAGGGTTCTGTGTCCCTCCTCCCTCAGTTTCTGCATCCAGAACACTCTGCAGTCTGACCAGGCCTGCTATTGCCATACTTTGACTGCTAGGATAGTGTATAACGATCTATGCTCCCAACACTGAAGGGCTATGTGTGTGTGTTGGGGGCGGGAGGAGTTCCAAGTTCCTTCAGGGAACTGGAAAAACAGTTATTAGTAGAAACCTGGAAGGCAGCTAGATAACATCAGAAGACACACCCAGCAGCTTGATGTCTTTGTGCTGTGTCACAGCCCATTTTTCTTCTTTCTCTAATTCTATCTTGAGCTGTTGGAAGACAAGGAGTGTGTTGACGTCACATTTCTATGTCTGAGGATGACCCAATATGCTGGTGAACACAAGCTCTTTACCAAGGTGGTTCAATGCATATTTATTGAATTCAACTATGAATCCTGTCCATACATGCACATGTTTATATACCAATCTTGTCACTGATAGCACATTTAAGTCAAACTGTAAAAATTTAACTGGGAGACTATCCTCATATAGCGAGAGCAAACACTAACTTCATTTCTCTTTCCATAATGTATTTCTGTACATTTCTTAATCATATATTTCAATTCATATTTACTTGGTAATGTCTTATGTTCTCTAGTTCCTTGGTTCTCAAAACGTGCTCCTCATAGAGCATGTTTACTATTGCCTGGGAACCAAAGAAGTGCAGACTCCCAGGCCTCCTCTGCAAGACTATTTCAACCCGATCCACATTTTAACAAGAGAGTCAGGGTTTAGGAATCATAGATACACAAAAGTTTGAAGAGTGGTGGCCAAAATGCTGGAGATTAGCATCATTCACAGGAGATAGATATTATAGAAGCCAAATATATAATGTGAAATTTTTCTGATAGCCATATTAAAAAACTAAAAAGCTGGGCATGGTGGCACATGCCTGTAATCCCAGCACTGAGGAAGTTGAAGCAAGGGATCACCCTGAGTTCCAGGCCAGCCTGGCTCCCTGCTTTAGTAGCTCACAATAGACTCCAAATAGAAAAGAACAGTCTGTCTGTCTTTCTATTTCTCTGCTTGCCTGCCTGCCTGATTCTGGTAAGATCCTAAGGGTACCCTAGTTAGTCTGTCAGTCCTACTGAGCAAGAGCAGAAAGGGAGTCTGATCAACTCTCATTAGTCAGGACCACCATGGCAGGAAAGAGGTTGGAATGTTTTAACCTCTGATTTCCTCTTGAATGAATGTGTGACAGCATAAGCAATAGGCTACTCTGTCTGTGCACCAAGGCTAGGGAGCACCCCCTACACAGATGCTAAGTACACCTTGTTTAGGGATAGAAGTACCTCTGTTAGTAGTAGGATTTGAAAAGTTAGATATACTGTGGTCATCTTGGACAAAACTATTTTGGCCAAAGGTCTCCTGGTACTGCTTCCTGCTGCTGTTTGTAACCCTGTCATCAATATTATGAAATAATCCAGGCCAGAGGTCTAAGCCCCCTGAAATATTAATCCCAACCAGAAACACTTCACCCAATATTCCTGGAAGTTCAGAGCCGCTGTTTGTTCTATAAGCTCACAATGCAGTGCTGGCACCCAATCCCTGTAGTCAGTATCTGTGTCACTAGTCCTGACCTCTTGTATTCTGGTGGAGTAGATAGATTATACAGAAATAAAACAAAAACTACATATAGCTTGTAATCAGTTAAAGGACAAGATATATCTATATCTACAGACATTCATGCACATACATATAACCCAGATACATATTAACTACCTCTACAAGTTTCAGAAATGCAGCCTTAGATCTGCTGAAAAATTTACCTGAACAGCTCTTCAGGGGCTCATCTAAAGGGGCAGTGGACTCAAAACCTTGCTCTTTGCACTTTGGATGCTGACAGGTCAACTGACAGCTAGAGCTTGGAGGACAATGTTCACAAGATTCCAAGTGTGATTTACCCAGCCCCTTCCATAGGTACTTGATATGGTGCTGTCCAACTTGGTTCTTGCTGCCTGTCCTCTTGCGGGTTGTAACCTTTGCCCTGGCCTTGTGCACAGTTGCCCCAGAAGGATGGAAGATAATCAGTAAGGCTCTTTTCCCTACTCTGTACATAGTTGTGTTGATTGAACGTGCTGTTTTAAACTGTCTTTCTCATTTAGGAAAAGTCTAGAGTTATTAATTATAACTAGAAAATGTTTGATGTTAGTAATGCACCTGTGTTTAACACTGAGGTTTGGATTTTGGTTCTGTTCAGTTTAACTGAGGAAAATCAAATAGGCTGTCTGCTGACGTTGTCCTCCAGAATAGGAGGGGCTTACACTTAGCCTTTCTACAACAAGAAGTTTCTAATGCCCTAGGAGAAACCTGCTGTTTCTGTGCTAGTAAGTCTGGAATAATCTGAGGAGGTCTGCAGCAACTGCAAGAGAGATTAGATAACCTGGCCAAAGAACGAAATCAGAAGCAGGGATGGTTCCAAGGTCTGTCTGACTTGAAACCATGGCTCGGGCCCCTTTTGGGCCACTGACAGCCCTTATGTTAATCCTCCTGATAGGGCCCTGCCTGGTTAATTGGATTCAGAGCAGATCAACAGCATAAGCTTCCCAATGGCCTCCAGAGCTACACCTTCTTGGGCAGCTTTAGAGAGAAATAACTCTGAAAAAGATTTTCCTGAGTAATTAACAAGAGGAAGAAATGAAAAGGAAAACTGTACTAGAAAAAATTATTCTTTCTAAACCTTTGTTTTCTTTGAAGCTGCCTAGCTCTGTAACTATTTCATGACTCCATAATTGCTTTCGTGGCCCCTGTAACCACGAGAGCATAACCAAACATACAGGAAGCCTGATGGTACCCAGCTTTGTGGTCATTAATCTATTCTTGTAACTGATGGTCATTCATCTAGCCCTGTAATTGATGATTTAAAAATGCGGGCTCACACTCACTGCCTGGCTGTTGTTGGAAATTATTCCAACCAGAAGCAATGATGTAAAATAAAGCTGCTCCTGGCCTCCTTTGGGTGTTGTTCCTTTCCCATGCTTAGTTTTGCCACACAATCACAAGGGTTTGGGAAGTCTCACACTATTTTTAGGGAGTCTCTAGCAATGGATTTGGCTCTAGACAGTCATTTCTGTGTCTCTTCCAGCTTTATCACAGACCCCTGAGGGGGGAAAAATGAGGCTTCAAAACTAAAATGTCTAACAGCTGAAATACACCTCTCCTACCTGTAAGCCATTTCAAGACCTCCCAGCTGCTAATGCTGCCACGATTGCCCTCCGTATGTGTTGCCTCAGTCTCTGCCACCCACAGCCTGCTGTAAACCTGCCTGGACCACTCCAGGAATTCCTTGGAGCTGCTGGCTTCTATAAACACTGGATGCTTGAGTTCACAAAAACACTGATGCTTACTCTGTCAGCCCCTGGGTGTGTCCAGTGGCCTGTCTGGTCACTAGGGGCTGCCTCCCCACTTTGCCTCTATATTCTAACAGCCACTGTCATGATCAAGAAAGCTGACATGCTTACCCTGGGCTGAGACCTAACTGTCCAGGTGCCACATGGTGTACTGAGATGAACTGTTCTAAAAAATGGACCCCTTGGCAGGTGCTGAATATGCTCTGTTGATGGGTAGAAGCAGCTTGATTGGGAATAGAGTCCAACAGGCTAGTGTTCTACTGCAGGTCTTACCATTATAGAGTTTTTAATATAGAAATTTTTCATGAAGTAAGATCACACCATAACACGATATTTTTTATTCTTTCTTTGAAACAAGATCTTTCTATGTAGTGCAGGCTGGCCTTGAACGTGTGGTGATCCTCCTGCCTCAGCCTCTTGAGTGTTGGGATCACAGGTGTGTTTCACCATATGTGGCAACACACAAATTTTAAAAGGTAGACTACTTGTAAAAGCTGTTTACGTGAATGTTGCAAGTAATTTATTCCTGTTTATACTGAATCCCTAACGACCTTGACAACATTTCTAGGATCCATATATAAATATAAAAACATTGTGTTTGTTCTATGTGACCAGTATGATATTTTTATGTGATCTCCAATTCACTACACTGTAGTATATATTCTTTACAGTATTCTTCATACCTTGCTTAAGAGTATATCATTCAGTCTTGCACAAACTAGGAAAGTCAAATCACTCATTAAACAT